ACATGTGAGAGAATCTAAATAAGTAATCATGTCAAATACCATCGTCATTCATTATGAGTAAATTACGATAAATTCTCTCCCTGCTACCTAATTTTCGAATTATATTTGGGTGCATAATATTATTTTATTCTTGAGTTGGTGGTGAACAAGAACGAAAAATCCATCAGTATTGGGCAAAAATCGGGGGCTTTTTGACTAGATGCCAAAGTCACCGCAAACTGCCTCGTAAACCAGAAACTTGCGATGTACGATGTGAGCAAAGTGCTCTCGGTCCGTTCTATGTCAACCACTGTTCCCCAGTTTTGGCCCAATCGAGAAGAACAGACGATAAGAAATGGCCACACAAACGCACACAAACCATTCGAACATAAAGTATGCAAGACTGTTTCCTTGCTTGTTTGGTCGGCCAGGAAAGAACTTCTTAATTACCTTCCTTGACCGGCAAGACAAAAGCCTCTCTGCAACTGCATGCGGTTTTTGGGACCCGTTCAAACTTCGGGAGCCAGAAAAGGGGCCATGAATGACGACATCACAGAACCTTTAGCATGAGCTCGTTTCACCGGACCGGCGACGGCATCATTAATGCACGCGTTGAATTGCAAAGAGACTTTTCTGTACCCACGTTTGAATCACAGGGAGGCGCTCAAGAGGAAGAGAGGAATGCTGCCACTCACCTCACCGTCCACCTACCTATTTATGACTCTCTCTCTCTCTCTCTCTCTCTCTCTCTCTCTCTCTCTCTCTCTCACCAATTATGCGGCGAACTATCTCGTGTCATGCTTAATCGATACTTCAAAAATGAATTATTTCAAGTTAAATGAACGTCGGCACAATGTTGGCACATAGTGGTCTCTCTTTCCAAAAGAAAACAGCGTTCCTCCTTCATAAAAAGTAAAATTTTAACTGGGTATCTTTCATAAGCCTTTTGAAAAGTCAAACTTACAATAAAATTAATCGATTTCTTTATTCATTGCGCATAGAAACCGGGTCAGTTGATTGACTTTCAAGGTATCGCTTGCTTGCATCCTGTTGTTTTGCTGGCCATGCGAAAGTACACAGTTACTCCAAAACAATAGCACAAATAAAAAGTTACCGCATTACGCTTAATTAAATATATTCTAGTTTATTTCACATAAATCATGCGGTCAAATAATCATGTGATTTATTCATCAACTGAAAACTATCATTGATTTACGTGATCATACTTAACTTAATCAACAAACAGTTAGAGTCAGTCCATTATGATAACATTTCTAGATCATAGAAAAGTTTAAGTGATTTCGGTCATTGTACTATTCAAGAAAAATAGTGATGTTATATAGTATTTTCTCTCTCTTTTTCGCTAAAAGATGCAAGTCATAAATAGTCAAATTTGTATAAACTTTCTTTATTTTTATCTTTTTGGGCCCAGACTGAACAAGCCCCAATTTAAGTTTATTTCAAGAAAATGCTATTTTACAAGACGGCAGCAGAATTTAAACAGCGCATGCCCATGGGAAGCAATAAGTCGCCATGTTAGTAATGAGCTCTCTGTTGTCCCAATTAATGCTTTTTGCCTTGTTTTTTCGAGTGGTTAGGATAACATTTATCTTGCATGAAAAAACTATCACGATAAGTTTCCTACGTAGAAATTTTATTTGCTCGGTGGAAAATGTAAAAGCAAAATTCTCCTTTTGCACCTATTTAAGTTGTTAAATCAATGAGTTTCCATAATTGTTAAAACCATCAGTAGTTGTTAAGCATACGCAACACGCTATTTCATCGAAGTACCTATTACGCATAACACGAAAATCTATAAATTGTAGTGCATTGAAAGTTGCGAAATTTTCTTAAGGGTCTTGTTTTTTTCTTTTTTGGTTCGAAATGGTCTTGTTACAAAGTGTCCAGGAACATTAATTAATGGGCCTAATTCCCTAAAAAACCCCCAACTTTAGGTTAAGTCCCAAATCTGTCCCGAACTTTTTTTTATCTCAGAAAAAACCCCAAACTTTAGGTCAAGTCCCAAATCTACCCCGAACTTTTTTTTGTATCAGAAAAAACCCCAAACTTTAGGTCAAATCCCAAATCTGCCCCGAACTTTTTTTTGTCTTGAAAAAAGCCCCAAACTTTAGGTTTAGTCCCAAATCTGCCCCAAATTTTGTTTTATGTAAAAAAAATCACCAAAATTCAATTTATTTTCAAAAATATACCCCGATGATCCAGTTCCAACTTGACGTGGCATTTCCACGTCGATAATAAATGATTTTATTTGGTTTTATTTTGGAGAATTTCAACAATTTTTATTTGGTTTGATTTGTTGTCGAAGTGAAAATGCAACGCCGGTCTGTTCCTATCGCCCCATTACTTTGCTAATGTTGATTTGTTATGATGTGGAAGTGTCATGTTAAGTTGGGACGGGATCACAGGAGTATATTTTTGAAAGTAAATTAAAATTTGCTGATTTTTTTTACATAAAACAAAATTCGGGGTAGATTTGGGACTGAATTTAAAGTTTGGGGTTTGTTCCGAGTCAAAAAAAAGTTCGAGGCAGATTTGGGACTGGACTTAAAATTTGGGATTTTTTTCGAGACAAAAAAAAGTTTGGAGCAGATTTGAGACTGGACCTAAAGTTTAGGATTTTTTCTTAGACAAAAAAAAGTTCTGAGCAAATTTGAGACTTGACCTAAAGTTTGGGGTTTTTTAAGGAATTCACCCTTAATTAATGCTACTAAAACTAGTAAAAGTGCATGTGGAAACTTTTGCAAAATTGAAAAAGAAACATATTTGAAAAGACTAGCATGTTACGAAAAGAAAAATTCAAATTTCTAAAGCATAATTAGTAACTCTTAACAAGTCCCTTCGGGGCACTTTTTAAACACTTTTCTTTCTTAATTGCCTAGGTTGCTTAACAAGTGCTGTCAAGGCACACGAATAGCAAACGGCAATCATTGATCTTGGCTTACTTGTTTAACAACGGAAAAGATTACAATTTTCAATTTACAGACTTTACACAGCACATACAATCAACGCCTTTCGAATCAAGTATCAAAAGCACTAATTATCAAGATGGAACTCAAAATTGCATATATTATCAGCATACGATTTACTGAAGATCTGCATGATTTTTGTCACGACAGAAGGAAGAGCAACTGTTTCGAAGGAAGTTTTGGGAGCCAATAAGATGAATAGTAGTTCCGATATGGGAAATGATGCTCCTTTCCAGGTAACTACTGGATCGATTTGACTACCCCTAGTATATTTTTATTTTATAGGGGACAGCCTTAAATGGCATGCCCGATTAGCTCATCTAGAAAAATTAGCTTTTTAATGCTTTAACGTCGTACAACAATTAAATGTGCTTTTCATGGGAAGCCGGTGTGGACCGATCATCCTTGTCATGTGACGATAATGATTTTTGGGTCTCCCTCTTTACTTTGATTGACAATGACTAATGGTTATTGTTGGTTCATTGACTTTATAGGGAAGATGGCCCCCTCAATTTCTCATCCACAAGTCTTAATCCGGGAAATTATTATCTAAAATAGGAATGCATAGAGTGATCTATGCTCAATTGATCAGAATCAGCAATAAGGAAAATGTTGACAATTGCACAATAGTAATTTCTAGTAAAGAACAAAACTGCTAACTATGTATTCTTCTCAATCCCGGATATGTTGTACGGATGTCAATTCAATCCTAAACTTTCTAATTTTACCAATTTAGTTATATACTTTGCATGAAATTTTAATGTAGTCATTCAGGTCAATTTTCGTTGAAAATCTTTGACGTGATGGTGTGCCATGTAGGATGGCTGAGGATGGCTGAACCACCACCTCAGCGATTTTCAACGAAAATTGATTGAAATGACTATATTGGAATTTCACGCAAGGGTTTAGAACTAAATTGACAAAAATTAAAATCTTTATGACTGAATCGACATCTGTACAATAGGTTCAAGATTGATTGGGAAATTCTCCCTTACATGCACACACATCTATATGCCAAGCTAGCCAATCTTAAAAAACAACTCTTTCTTTTTTGAAACTTTTTCACCGAAATTTCACCTTTGAAGTGATGATGTGGATCCATGCTATTTGAGTAATTAACCACCATTTGCACAGTTACCCGCATGAGATGTTACGTGCTATATATATTGTCAAAAGAAAGATGCCATTCATATATCAGAATAAGGCTTTCAAGCCTAGCAAATCCAAAATAATTTCAAAACAATGCAAAAGCACAGTCTGTAGCTAGAACCACACTCTCATCCCTCAAGAACAGATCTAACACCATAAACGAACCGTGGCTGATCACCAGATTCAGTGATAAGCACACGTCGAGATCTCTCACTCCATTTACAACGACTTGAGGTGCACATTTAGGTTCAACACCCTCATCACTATCGCCATATAAAGGCACCAACACTAAAATGTTGAAGGAGCACAGATCAAATATCTATAAGGAGCTCCTAGATCCATATCTAGATCTAGTTCAAGAGAGTAAAATCCCCAAAACTTGACATAATCTAAATCGTGAGAGGAAAGCGTCCTAATCTTGGAGAAGTTGTGGAGCCACAGTACGAACAATCTCCTCGGTGGAGCCACGGTATGAACATTCTCCTCGGTGGCTGTCGATTAGACAAATGACCGAATTGGTCCCCACGTACACTCAAGATCAGCTGCAAAATTTATTCACACAGAAAAACTCGCAGTACGAATCAGGAGAGAAAAGAAAGACAGAGAGCTTAAAAGAGGGAAGAGGGAGACAAAGAGGTAGAGGGGGGAGGGGAAAAGGGAGAGAAAGAGAGAGAGAAAGGTCCCTCTCTCTCCCTTAGGAACGGCACTACAGAAAGGCGGCGGCTTCAAGGGAAAGCAAAGGAAACCCTTACATGTAAAAAATGTTAAAACTAGGTGGGGTTTGGTGTCTCTTTGTGCATTTTTAGTTAATAAAAAAAATTCTTGTACGATGCTTACGTTAATTAATTCTTTAATGACATGCTAATATCAATTTAGATAACCGAGAAGTAAAATTGGTATCTTATATTTCAACTTCCAAATCCAATTGAACCTCGGATTTTCACAGAGGACATTGACATAAATAAACTAAAGTAATTAAAGGAAGTAAAAGGTCCATCCTCCAGTTTTATCAGGGCCACTGTAGTTTTAGTTAAATCGAACAACCCCACGAAAAAAATGAAATACATAAAGTGCGAGAGATCGAACGCGCGACCTCCCGGCCTCTCGGCTCAAGCCCTAGGCTTGATCGTGGCCCGAAGAGTGTCCTTCATGACCACCGTGAACTCCAATTTGCCGGTGAAGTCGATCTTGCTGTTTGGAGGATATGCACTCCACTCGAACTCTTGAACCATTCGCGCAAGCATCAGATGAACGTGAACCGTGGCCATTGCGAGTCCTGGGCATATCCTCCGTCCCACGCCAAACGGCAACATTTTCACGCCAGTGACCCCGGTGATGTCGGCATCTTCATTGCCCGAGATATACCGATCCGGGTCGAATTTTTCTGGGTTTTTCCACAGCTTCGGGTCCTCTCCGACGGCCGGCAAGTAGATCTCCACATTTGCATCTGTAGGTATGTCGTAGCCTGCAAGGAAAATTATGACGTTAATTCGTATTAGCATATCATAACTATAGCACTCCATCCATATAACGTATTAGTCCTTGGAAAATACTGTACAAAAGTCTCTTTCCTTCTATTAAACAACGAGCTTGTTCACCAAGAATATGCTAATTGAGTTATTAAGAGGTATTTTTTTTAATGTTCCTAATTTTAAGTCGGACCAGTTCGGATCTTTCATATATGTTTACCTTTCTTAGGCCTAATATAGACCGAGTATATTCATCTAATTATTTGACGATTCAAAATTTTACGATCTATTATCTTAGTAAGTTTTTAATCTTAAAACGAAATTTGCTGGTTTAGGACACAGTAAAGCATGCCCTATCGGTACACATACACTAGGCTCATCCAATTGTAACCATGATCTATGTATTATGAGAAAATAATTAGTTAATTCGATTCATAGATTTAATGAGCCGACTTTACTTTAGAGGCATTTGCCATGTCGTAACTATATACTGTGTCCGATTTCATAATTGAGATGACATCCTATCCAGAATTCGTGTAACTCCTACGCGATAATATGATATGGTAAGTCATTTTAAAACGACAAGCAAGTTAGGTAAATCTCGAATTTACGAAATATCTCATTAAACTCACGAAAACTCACAAACCTAAATTTCTTTTGTATATGCCAAATCAATGGCTCTGCAGCATTTATCAAGGTAAATAGCAAGTAGCAACCTCGCTTACTTACCTGCTAGCTTGGTCGGTTCAGTAACTGCATGAGTTAAAGAGAAGTAGGTGGGTGGGTGCTTCCGCAGCAGCTCTTTGACCGTAGCGTTCAAATACGCCATCTTCTCTATGTCTTTCTCGTCCACCTTCCGGTCACCGACCGTCGACCTGATCTCCTCGTAGAGCCTGCTCTGCACGTCCGGGTTCGCGATCAGCTGCGCGATCCCCCACTCGATCGCCGTCCCCGTCGTGTCGGTCCCCCCGTTCAGGAACTCCGAGCAAAGCGTCACGAGCTCGGCGCTTGTGGGCCCCGACTTGCGCCCTTCGATCTTGAGGTCGAAGAGCGTGTCGAGGTACGAAAACGACGCCGCCGTCTTGTCCGACCCTGGGTTCTGGAGCGCCTTCCTCCGTTTCTCGATGAATGGGATCACGAAGTCGAGCTGCGCTTGCCGCACTTCCTGTGCCCGCCTCCGCTCCTTCGAGAAGAAGGGGCTCAGCACCGGGAGGTAGTCGTCGATCCGAGGGTCGAGGGTGATGAGCACTGTCTTCATCATCTCGTCCATCCGCTCGATGGTTTCCTCGTCCATCTCGAGGCCGAAGCACATGGCCAGGAGGATGCAGAAAAAGGCGAACCGCGCACTCTTGAGCACCCAGACGGCGCCACCGTTGGCCTTGGCCTCGGCACGGAGCCGGTCAATGAGCTTGTCCATCGCGTCCTCCCGAACACCCTTAAACTCCTTGAGCCGGCTCGAGCTGAGCATGTTCTGCACCAAGTTCCGCCGCAGCGACCGCCACACAGGGCCGTAGATGGCGGCGTTGACCGTGAACTTGTTGCAGCTGAAGACGGCCCGGGTGGGGTTTTCCCTCGGGCGGGTCGCGAACATCGCCCCCCGCTCGATGAGGGCCTCGTGGACGAGCTTCGCGTCGGCCAGGATGATCATGGTCCGGGTCCCCATTCTCAACGTGAAGATCGGGCCGTACTTGGGCCTGAGATCCTCCACGTACTGGAAGAACGGCTTCCCCGAGCGGGCGAACTGGAAGAGGTTGCCGACGACGGGCCAACCGGGAGGTCCCGGAGGGAGGTTGAGGCCCTTCCCTCCCGCATTACGCGAGAAGAAGTAAATAACCCCACAAACCAACACCGCCAGGACAGTGAAAACGAGATGATAGTACGAGGACAGATCCATTGCCGCGGATGGGGGCTTTTGAGAGAGAGTTCAGAGGAATGGGGGAGGATATAAAGGAACGGCGAGCATGAAATTGCAGGTGAGGATTCAATAAAAGCTCATGACCCTTAAGCTCTACCACTTGAGAAAGGGTGTCATTAGACCTGTCAAATGGGGGGGTCGGATCGGGTTTAGATCGGGTCATAAATGGTCCTACCCAAATTGATCCATTAACCCGTTTATAACCCATTTATGCGCAATGAATTTTCTTGACCCATACCCGATCAGACCCATATTGCTAAACACTTCCATATTTAATTAAATATAGGAAAATTCATACCCAAGCTGAAATGAGAGTGCGGAGTGAGTGAGTACAAGATTGAGTGAGGGCGAGAGAAATGTGTTGAGTTTAAATCAGTTGTAAACTCATTTATGACCCATTTACGACCCATTTAACATCAATATAAGACTTTTACCCATTTATGACACATTTACTAAATATAACTAATTCATTTATAACCCATTTACTAATATATGGGTTAAGAAATGGATTTATGATCCATTTTAACAGATCTAGGTGTCATGTATGGTTGGATCAAAACCGAAGTGGTACGGAGGAGGACTATATAGAGTCGATGAGGGCTGGTTGAGAGACACAGTGTAATTCTGAAGTGATGGGAGCAGTGAGTGAGGTGCTTAAATTTGGTGGTGACGACAGCTGAGAGGGGTGTCTTTAATGGGGTGCAATGAAATGCTAAATAGAGTAGGTGAATTCAGAGGGAGGTGGGGGAGATGGAATGAGAGGGATGAGAGCGAAATCTGTGGGACTGAGGGAGTTGATCGGATGGCCAAGGATCATCAATGACTTCTTGTGGGGTTAGTTTCTGGTTACAAGTTGTACTGCATGCTCTCTGCGTAAATGAACACCCATACGAAAATTTTGCGGCTTTCTGGCATTCTCAGCAGTGCCCGCATTTACTTCCTTCCCCCATGGATATTATGAAGAGGCCGCGTTTGCAATAGCCGTTCTTCTGTTTTTTTTTTTTTTCTGAAAGCTAAAAATTGATATTTCAGATGAAAATACTGAAAATATTTTTCACGAAATAAACAGAGCCTAAGTAACCGTATATGACAAACTAAAAATGTTCTCCTTGAGATGGGTGGATGCATGTGAGTGCTGCGTGATGGCGCGAGGGCCTCAAAGTTGAAAGTGTTTTGGGTGATATGGGTTGATTTGAATAGTCAATTTGATTGCGGATTTGCTGCCCATTGAAGGAGGTAATTTAAAATGAAAATTTTTTCGCTCCTAAATTTGGAAGAGTCTTCCTTCAATAGGTGGTTGTTAGAGTCCGTTTGTTTCCAAAAAAAATGAATGATTTAAAAATGATAACTTAAATCACTTTAAAAAATGAATGAACAAAAAATTTATCACTCATTCATGAAAATATTTAGACATAAACTATCATCGATTGTGATAAAAAAAAATGTATTGACTACTTATTTTAAGTGATCATTTTCGTAAAATTTATTTTTCGCAAAATAAATAGACCTTATTAAAGAAGACTTGTCAAGTTACTCGATACGGTGGTGATTCTTTTCGACTTTCAATGGCAATGAACCTCTTTCAGAATGTTTCATTTCTTCATTTGTTGCCTCGGTAAATGGACATGATGATTGCCGTGGTACCTTTGGAGTCTATACAAATTCCAGAAGTAATAGGGGCGTACGTGATGAAATGAGATGCGTACCACTTTGATAATTTGACCTCGTTGAGACTTAAATATTAGCGATCCATTAATAATTCAGTGCATAAAAAAATTAGTGCTCATCCCCAATCCCTAAACAAAAAGAATAATTAAATTTCATATAGGTGTTAAGAGCGTTTTTAGCATTAAGCCCACATAAACTGCATTGGACTGAAAGTGATGGACTCAAGCGGGGAGGTTCTAAACTTGAATGTCAGCCAAGCCCATCAAACTTCCTGACGTGGCCCAAAATTCCACGTGTGAAATATGATCGAGCGAAGTGGATCACGATCTTTGGAATGAGCAGATTCGGCCAGAGGGGATTGACTAAAAAGAAGGGGAATTCAACGAAGGAAACGAAGTAAGGGAAAATCAAAGGGAGGAAGATTGGTGCACGTGTGTTAAGGTGGAGAAAGAAGCAAATCGATGGGAATTTCCCATTATTTGAGGGAAATCATTCAGCAACATGGAAAGGATTCATTCGGTGCACAAGATCTTGAGAAATGAAAAGGAGAAATATGAACAAAAGGGGAGTGGGCGAGAGATTTACGCACTAAGATACTACCTTGCCTTTTACAAGCAGCAGGATCGACACATATTAATAAGAAGGGAGAGAGAGCAACAGGACGTTGTCCTGGCGTCCCTGTAAACCTCCAGTGACGATCTCAGCCGTATCCTCGTCGCGCCGTTCCACTAGCTCGCCTGCTTCAGCCGCACCATCAGCAATTCCGGCGACGCACAACCGCCTAAGCAAAGTCCTTCCCACAACAGTCAAACCACCCATCCGCCCCCCCCCGTCCCCTGGCTGCGACTTGTAGTGAACGCCAGCGTACTTCCGGCTAATACATTAGTCTCACTGACGAGGCCTGGCGATTTGGTCGTGCTTTGCCGGTTCTCCGACGGCTTCCATCGTGCTAGCGAAGCTCCCGCCACATTCGCCAAGCTGTCGATGGTGTCCCTGTTCCTGTAGTCCCGTAAACCCACCTGTTCAATTCTTCCTGTCACGGTGCTCCTGCAGGTCTTCCCGGTTAGGTCTTCACCAAGCCAACTGGCCCGACGTCGAGCAGTCATTCAGCATCCTTGTCGTTGTGCCCGTCGCCTTCGGGTCCTCGATCCAATGTCAGTGCGGTCCCTTCAATCCCGACGTTCCCTGCAGATTGGCTCACTGTCGCACCAAGTCTCACTTTTCCAGGAGTCCAGAAGTTTCCCATCATTGACTAGTCACTGTCTCTTGCTGTTGGTTTCGTCCTCTTTTGGCTCATCAAGTTCACTGGCCATCTACCACCTTGTCACCGTGCACCACCTTGCTGCTATCTATACTCCAGCCTCCAGGTAAGCCAAATTTTATTTTTATGTGGTAATCCATCAATCAAATGATGGAAACTTACTGTGGACATTTGGAGAACCACCGAACAAAATGCAAAACTGACCAACATCTGAGTGTTTCGTTATGTAACTTTTTCGGAAAACATACATGATTTACTCGAAATTAGGCTATTCTGGATAAGATCTCACAAAAAGAAAATAAGAGTTCGGTAAAAAAAAACCTTGGACTGAGACTCTCATATGTTGCGCACGCAAGAGGGTAAATCTAACTTTACACTTGATTCAGCCCAAGCTCACGTGTGCGAATCCAATGCCTATTTCTTGTTATTAATAAAGTGAAAGAAGAGAAATTCTATTGAAGCAATATAAGACGAGAAAAGTAAGGAAAGCAAACTTTTTGAAATATTTTTCTATAATAATCCTCACATATTTCAAAAAGGTTTATCATAAAAGAATAAAAGTTGGTTTCACCCTGACTGGAAATGCATCATTGTTGTGTCTTTTGGACTATGAACCAGATCTAACAAAATAAGACATAACTTACGAAACTATTGATGAAACCCATAACTTCTTTGAGCCAATGATTTTTCTTGGAAGCTAGATTTCCACTTATCACACTAACCTCCACAAATTCTACTGTTCATCGCGGGTTTGTGCTAATAGGTCATGTGCATATTTGGTTATGCATGAGTGCTCTAGAGATTTAGCCATGTATCCCATAGCAGCAACCCCACTTCATACTAATATAGATAATTCCATCAAGTCTAGTTATTTATGGGTGCGTTTGTTTCGTGGAAAATGAAAAATTTGAAGAACAATTTCCTAAAAATGATCTATTGAATGGCTTGAAATAATTAGTCAAAAATGTTTTCATCATCGACAACAATTTATGTCTAAATATTTTCGTGGACAATTATAATATTTTCCGTCCATTTATTTTTGTAAGCAATCATTTTTTGGAAAGTGTTTTTCAAATCTTTTATTTTTCGCGATACAAAAGTAGCCTAAAGTGGAGTTTAGTGTCAAGTCCCCAAAATGGTTGAACCTAGGCTTACAATGATACCTTCTCTTCTGCGGAGGCCACGAGTTTAAACCTGCTTGCAATATTATTCTTTGTGAACCCGCCAGATGCAACTGCAATGAGGGCTCATTAAGCTAGCAATTTGATTAGGGCCGAATAACAGAGTTGACCATTCCGAGGCTAGGCCCAGCTCAGATCTAGTATTTCCTGCCTTTGCTAAAACTGGGCAAAAAAAAGTTGAGAAGCACATGGAGAACTAGAGGAGTTTCTGTAAGTATCCAGAAAATCTAGGAAGTATCTTAGTAAAGGATTGTTGGAACCAAAAGAATAATATAAATTTTGGAAATTTGGAATAACAGCACAAACAAAAATTAGAGGAAGAACTTCTTATTGAGAATGCTTTCTCTTTTTGGCTTCGTGCTTATGGCTTGATTTACGACTCATGACTTCATTTCTTTACATAGGAATTGAAACTCTCAAACACCAATGATAACCTTAAATGAAGAAGAAATAACAGCCTACACATCATTAATAAAGAAATCAAAATAGCTTAATATGTCAAAGAAAAATGAAGCCATCTTAAAGTTTTTATGGCTCTTCTTTAATGCTTGCAGCCTTTTCATCCGGTAAGAATCTCACCAATAATCAATTTTATATTATTCTAGCAGCTTCCCTTAAAATTGATTTTAGAATTCAATAACACCAAGCTTGGTCTTTAATTTTTTTGAAAGAATCCACTTTCAATGGTTTCGTCAAAATATACGCAATTTGATCTTTTGATTTACAGAAAATTTAGCTCAATTTCACCATCTTTGACTTGCTCATGAATATAGTGATTTTTTATGTCAATATGTTTGCTCCTGCAATAAATCAACTAAAGCCATAGCCATGTCACACATTATTTTGGTAGGACCTATCTGTGCATGCAT